TTTTTCCAAGACTCCTTGATTAAAAATTAGTGTTTTTAACACCGCCATGGCACTCTATATTGAAATTTAAAATACAATTTTGTTTTAAGCGAAAATGTCAAACATTGACATATGATATCTCATCCTATTCAGAATGACATTTTCTATCTAATAAAGTAGGAAAATACCGAGGGTGCCATTTAAAAATTAAAAGTTGTAGTCATTTCCGGTGAAACAGTAAGTGGCCGAAAATAATTGAATACGTCGATCAATCCTAATTTATGTCATATACTAACAAACCGAAACTTGTTTTTATATCTGAAAAAATAAAAAAAGTTATAGGGGTGAGCCACTTTTAAGACGCATCACCCGGTATATTATTAAACTGACTAAAGTGTCAAATTCAACGAACCGCAACCCTGGTTCCTCGAAATATCATTACTTACAAGATATTACTTTTAATTTTTTTTTATATTATTCTGAACGGGTTAAAATTATTTGTGATGTTTGAAAAAACAGCATGTTCTATATTCGGAGTAAAAATTACTTTTCAGCCAATGACACTTTTTGAACAGTATCATTTTTACTCCTAATAAAACAATATACTATTTTTCAACACTGCCGTATTTACTATCAAAATAACCTTTTACTAATTTATCTGAAAATTGTGTTCCACTTTCCAACTTCCTTGGCTTAAAAGGGCTATATTTACCATTTTTTTTAACTTTGCTCAGGCTACATTTACTTTGCCTAACTTTGTTTTATAAATTTTAGATAATCTAACTTAATTAAAGGACGTTTCTCTGCACGGACTAACTTTTTCGTTTGACCTATTTAATAAGTAAAGCTTCTAAAATGGGAAGTTAAATATAATTCTAATAGTTTAAATCGAATTTTACGGAGCATAGTGGACTCTGTAGTTAGTCTGGAAGTTTGCTCTTTCTGCTGTATTAAGGCATTTAAAGAAGGGACAAAATTGTCTATCTTAGTTCAATCATTTCATATTTTTTTAACAAAAAAAATTGTGTATGCACCAGAGCTGCAACAAGTCACTTTAAAAAAAGAGACGAAGTCTTAAATTATAAGTCATTTCTAAAATCAAAATGATTTAAGTCTTAAGTCAATTTCGATATAATGTCCAAATGAGTTAAGTTTTAAGTCTTTGACTTAAGTCATTTTCTTTCAAGTCAGGCCATTTTTGTAAAGACTCATAAAGGGCCCGAGTTAAGACGCTCCAAAGACCCATTAAATCGGACGATTTCTTCGACATTGATGATGGGGTTTCATAGTGCACGAAACGTCGTCAAACTATCATGAAAAGATGAGACTCTTCGAGCCCCATCTACTTTCCGAGTTTCAGAGCCCTAACTCATATAAGGCCCGAGTTACGACGCTCCGTCTTAACCTCCGGTCGTTACCACTTTTCCTCTCGCGTCTCGCGTTTTGTGTGTCACGGCCTTAAATTTTCACTCCCATTGCGTGTAAAGAAGTTTCACTTCAATAAATTAGTTAGTATAGGAACTTATCACGAAGTTAATTTGGTATATATATTGTTAACTGGACAGTTACTTATAGGGGAACAGAATGGCAACACTGCCTATTGAGAACGCGTGCACTTAAGCCGGGTCCACATATGTAGCACTCTATTGTATCAGGATCATGTATCACGTATCAAGAGCTTGTATCGTAAGTATGGACGTTTATTTGGGCTGTGTCGACTGAATATGCATATCGTGCCAAAGTAAGCGTCCATACTTATAAAATTCATACGTACCAGCGTACAAGCGTGCGTATCATTGTATATGGACGGTACAACAAATCACCTTGTATCGTCGTATCATGTTCATCAATTTTTCTCAGCGAACCCTCAATGCCCCTTTGATGATCGGAGAAAAACCGCCTCAAGACGGGTCAAGGCGTATCAAGTCAATTGTATCGTTATACTGTATCAAAACACGTCCAAATGACAGATCGTGATACGTGTATCCGATACGCAGTGTTAAGATACGCGCCAAAATTCGGATTGGCATGTATCAGATACGGTATCACAAAGGTGTACCATATGATCGCGTTAATTCGGCGTCCAAACTAGCGATCATGAAACATGTTGGTGCAACGCGACGGAGATATGATACACGAAGATGCTACATATGTGGACCCGGCTTATAGGGTTTTCTGCCGACTCGTCCCGTCGCGTCGTCTGTCGACAAGCGGGCCGAGGTTGCCATATTTCAACCATAAAGCTCTTGCCGCGAGTAATAAACAAATTAATAACCTCTGTACCTATATATTATATTTGGTATATCAGAAATGTTAGCCATCTGGAATTTTACATTTTTTGCAATTTGTCCACCTCAATTTTTACATTTTTCGTCAAAAAAGGTTACGAATTGATTTGTAGAGAATTGAATTTTCTACAACTTTTATACGAGGCATGTTTTTTAAGTAAGTACCGTTTTGGAATTAAAAAAAAACGTGCTAGATATATAATATAACGAAAAGATATCGCAATAACTTTATTTTTACATGAAAGCCTGTACCTTAATCTACTTTTCTACATAATTTCCGTGAATATTGAGGCACTTGTCATAACGTGGCACCAGTTTTTCAATACCCTCCTCATAAAATTCTGCCGCCTGACTGGTTAACCACTGTATCACAACTGTTTTGACTTCGTTATCGTCTTGAAGACGCTGACCGCCCAGGTGTTTCTTCTATCAAGTGCAGGAATCTTTTATCAAGTGCAAAAATCTATCAAGTGCAGGAATAAATTGTAGTCACTGGGCGCCAGATCAGGGCTGTATGGAGGATGATCTAGAGTTTCCCATTTAAAAGATTTGATGAAATCTTTGGTCCGATTAGCCACATGTGGACGGGCATTGTCATGCAGCAAAACAATACCCTTACTCAACTTGCCACGTCTTTTGTTTTGGATTGCACGGCGCAGATTGTTCAATGTCTCACAATAAGATGCTGCCTTGATTGTCTCATTACGAGGCAGAAACTCCACTAGCAATACTCCTTTTCTGTCCCAAAAAACTGCACATGATTTTCCGGGCAGAAATTGTTTGCTTAAACTTCACTGTTTTGGGTGATGATGAATGTCGCCATTCCATGGACTGTTGTTTCGATTCTGGTGTTTCGTAGGCCACCCATGTTTCGTCACCAGTAACAATTTTGTCTAAAAAATCTTCACCTTCATTGTGGTACTGCTCAAGGAAAGTCAATGCACTGCCTAAACGTTGGGTTTTGTGCAAATCCATCAACATTTTCGGAACCCAACGTGAACACAATTTCCGGTAATTCAAGTTCTCGGTCACAATGCGATACAAAACACTACGAGAACATTGAGGAAAGTAGTCGCACAATGATGAAATTGTAAAGCGTCTGTTTTCTTTCACCTCTTTGTCCACTTTCTGCACCGAATCTTCATTAACGACCGAAGGACGCCCACTCCGTTCTTCATCATGCACATTTGTGCGGCCATCTTTAAATGCTCTCACCCTTTTCCTTACCATTCCATCACTCATAATGTTTTGTCCGTAAACTTCACAGATCTCACGATGAATATCGATCGGTTTTACGCCTTTAGCACTAAGAAATCGTATGACAGCCCGTACTTCACAATCGGCGGGGCTCACGATTGTCGGAGGCATCTTAAACACTCAATAAACAACGTATACAATGAAGAATCAGACTGTACTGGCACAAAATAGAAATCAACCAGAAGGTTGACTCTCAAAATGCGCGCGAAACGGTGGCTAACCTAAAAATTCCTTTATGAGCGGGTAACACCTGTCAATGTAGCGGCGTTACCGGTTTAGTCAGGGCAGGTCAGGGTTTAGTTGAATTCTGACGATCGCATAATAGGAATATATCACATAAATACGAATTTTAAAAGCGGAACAAATAAAAATAAATTATTAATAAGGAGAAATACATTGATATTAAACAAATGCATAGATTGTTTTATTTTAAATACTGTATTAACCCATCTTAACACAATACTTATTACCTACCTACCTAATCATAATTTTATTATTATAATGAGCCTGATTTATCTGGGTAACATTGTGTTCAAGCGAAACTTTCCCAGCATTAAAAAAAACATTTTTATTTTGATAATGTGTACCCAAAACGCAGAACGTGCCTCTAACAAATAAATTCAGGATTGTAAACTGTTACACTTTAGAACGTACCTATAGCAACGCAATTTGCGTAATTTCCCAGACCATAAAAACTTTTAAGAAAGGTGTAGGGATGACCACGGGTTTCTGCCAACCAGTAAAACGCAGCTGGTGAGTAGAAAGTTGACCTTTAATTAATTGGTTTAGTTTATTTTTAAAATTCACGATCTCTACCCATTTCCAAATTTTTGACTACGCATATATTATCTGCCTACCTAATTGCAAAAAAAACGCTGCATAAAAATTACATGTGGTGGTACATATACAATATAAACTTTACCTTTCGAAATAACGTATTACGTTCAGTCTGTAATCACATACCTATCAGATAATAAAAATACTTATTCAATATAACCCTGACAACAGCCTGCGAAAGTGTTTTAATCCGGCCCTGAGAGTTACCCGCTGCTAATATGGCGTCGCGATTCGTGAAACGTCATCAAATTCGGCAGAGTCGGCGTTCTGGTTGATTTCTATTTTGTGGTACTGGCGTCTGTGCATAGACAAGAGATGTAGGTAACCAGCGCGCATGCGCGGAACACCGACCGTAGCGCTGCGGCGGCGGAATCGCAAAACGGTACTTACTTAAAAAACATGCCTCGTATGTATAAGTCATTTTGTTAAAAGAATATTATTTCTTGGCATTAATTTACATAAAGTGTCAAATATTATGACTAAACGTGGCTCTTTCAACTTTTCGACAATTCATAATAAATATAAGGGGCATATTTAATCGTATTATATTATCGTTTATCATTCCTCAATTATTTAACTATGTATTATTTTTATTTCTAATTACTATGTCATTTGAATAACAAAAATCTTTGTTTTCAGGTGTATCCCAAACGGGACATAACCAATATTGTGGAAAGCAGTCACTATTTAAAAATTGGGTCTTGGTGTAGAGCTGGTGCCACTCCCGGTTCTCAATCTAGAGGAAAATGCAAAACTGCACGTTGGGTTAAACCTTTCAGGTGTCTAGGTAAGTTATTAAGGACATATTGTATCTGTATTAGTTTAGTTAGATTAGTTCTTATGAATTTTGAAACGATGTTTAAATATTTTCTTAATATTCACCATTATAAAACTGTAATCGAAACCCTGGCGCAATATCTTTCCAGGTTAATCCACTTTGCATAAAACCAATAACTATGAAATTAAATAAGTAAACAAATAATATAAAATAAACATAAAATACTACACCAAAGTCGCAGAAAACTTAAACGAGTTAAGGGAATACGCAAAGCTATTTAAGAAAGTTATGTAACAATTGCATTCACGCAATCTCCGTCATTTTAAATATAAAAACCGTATTTCGCTCATTCCTTATTCAATGTCGTTTCAAAAAAAAATGGCGAATGCGCAAGGAAATGCTACCACACACACTTCATCTATCTATCTAAAAATGTAAATAATCAATTCTAAGCTTTGTCTATTTACAAAGTCACGTAAACAAATAGTCACAAAATCATTCTACCTGTGATTCTACTTTCAAAGCGTCTTTATGCAAATCACACTTTGTACCAAATATTTATACAAGATACAATTATATTGTCTCAAAGTATGGAGTAAAACTGACTAGGTGATATTAGGAACTAACGAAATTGTTACAATCTTTCTAGGTATTTTAAAATTGCTATAGCTATAAACATTTTCCTGTACGGGGTGCGTCTCAAAATTGGCTCAACCCTAGAACTTTTTTATTTTTTTCAGATAAAAAACGAGATTTTGTATATTAGTATCTGACAAATTAGAATTTATTGACATATTGAATTGTTATCGGTCACATTCTGTTTCGCCGGAAATAATTATAACTTTTGATTTTTAAATGCCACCCTCGATATTTATTAACTTTAATCGATAGAAAATGACACTCTGAATAAGATAACATATCATATATCAAATTTTGACATTTTTGCGTATGGTTTATTTGAAATTGCAACATGCAGTTCATAACGGCAATTTGAGTCGAAATACCAAGTGTGTGGTACCAAATTATTCGTAAAAAATGCTTTTTCCAAATCTGCTAATGAGCCACCCTTGTTCCATTTGAAAAAAATTGAGATATGATTAAAAAACGATTTGAGTATTTTTAGTCCGGCCAGGACAAGACACGAAAAACATTAGACGATCAAATGTATTTTTCCAATGCTCCTTTTAAAAATTAGTGTTTTAAAACAGCCATGGCACTCTAGAGTGAAATTTAAAATACGATTTTTTTTAACCGAAAATGTCAAAAGTTGACATATGATATGCCATTCTATTCAGAGTGTAATATTCTATCGAATAAAGTAAAAATATACCGGTGTTATTAAGGTGCCGTTTAAAAATCAAATGTTGTAGTCGAGGAATTACATGTACAGGGTGTCCCATTTTGGTTGAAATCATACGGTATCTCCGTTATTAGTGAATATAGAAGGGTGCGGTTTGCGCAAACCTGTCTCACTTTTTTGTCAAATGGAAGATGCCGTAAACAAAATTTTCAGAGCCCTCTTCGTTTCCGAGCTAAAGGGTCTTTTTGAAAATTTTGCAATTGGGGGACACCTCCTATAGCTCTGTTATTGTTAAAGCTATCGAGAAGGTGAAAACTGTTTATTGTAGAACTTTTTACGTAGAATACAGTGGCGTAGTCTGTTTTTCTACCAAAAAAATATTTTTGAAAATATGAACTAAAGTTATGTTTTTTTAAATGGAACACCCTGTATATTTATAAATCATATGATCTGTCTTGCCATAAGCTTCTCAAAAATATATATCACTCTATATTTATTTTCACTATTTACTGCAATATTTAAAAGTTTTTATTAAAAGATCATATTTATTAGTAGGCCATGATTGATAATAAAAGAAACTAAAGAATTATTAAAAGTATACTGCTATCTGTCTCTTGTTTTATTTTGGGAGCCGCTAATAAATTCTTTATATATTAGGGAAACTTAACTCTCTACCGCTATTTGTAAATCTTGGAATACGTGTATACGTAAGAATAATCTATCGTATCGGAAATTTTAGATATTCCTTTAGCTAATTTACGTGAAATATACTTTCAGCAAGATGGGGAACATTCCCCCTCATAACTATGGAAATATTAGAATACTGTTAAATTATTATTTTTCAAATCAATGAATTGGAACCAATGAACGCATATTGATAGCCTCCTCGATTCCCGGATTTCGCCGTTCTCGATTTCTGATTTTGGGGATTTTTGAAATACGAAATATATCGTGGGCACTACAACAATGTCGAACACCTGAAAAATGCTTTAATAATTCAAGATTTAGATATTTGCAAACCCATCCCGTTATAAAAAAAAGGAAAAATATATTCACAGTTTCAGTGGTAACAGTTATTTCAAAAGTAAAATATATCAATAACCAACCAAATTTTAATATGTGTATGACTATTTTAGTAAATACCATTTTGATTTTTTGTTATTTATCACGGCCTACTAATAAGAAAATGATATATTTTAAATATTGCAGTAAATAGTGAAAATAAATATAGAGTGATATATCATATGATTTATAAATATATAGGGTGTTCCATTTGAAAAAACATAACTTTAGTTCATATTTTCAAAAATATTTTTTTGATAGAAAAACAGACTACGCCACTGTATTCTACGTAAAAAGTTCTACAATAAGCAGGTTTCGCCTTCTCGATACCTTTAACAATAACAGAGATACAGGGGGTGTCCCAAATTGTAAAATTTTCGAAAAGACCCTGTAGCTCAGAAATGAAAAGGGCTATGAAAATTTTGTTTGCAGCATCTTCCGTTTGACGAAAAAGTGGGACAGGTTTGTGCAAAACGCACCCTTCTATCTTCACTAATAACGGAGATACCCTATGATTTCAACTAAAATGGGACACACTGTACATTTTATTGGCAGTCGCTGGCAGTCATTGGCAGTCTTACGGCAGTCACCCATAATAAATACATGGCAGTCATATGCAGTCTTCTTCACAGTCATAGACAATCGCTTGACAGTACTATAATAGAAAATATTAATATTCATTCTTACTGTCAACACAAGACAAGCCTTCCTTATTTTATTATTAATTTTCAATCTACACAATGTACCTAGTTTAATGTTAATCCAAATTAATTATATTCAATATAATATTCAATTAAAATAAAATTTAGTTATTTTAAAATTCTTTTAACGTCCAACCATACTTCTCCTTTCACTGACAAAACAGTACTAGTTTTTTCCATTTTCAATGGAAACTGTGTCCGTTTGCTCAGTGTAAAGTTAAAATTTCTTATGACGCTGATCAGTCCAACTTTTGCTTGTAATAAACCAAATCTTAAACCTAAAAAAAAATTAAAAAAGATTACCTAGGATAATAATTTTTATAAGAGTATACCGGGTGCGTCTCGAAAATGGCTCACCCCTATTACTTTTGTAATTTTTTAGATAAAAAAACAACATTTATTATGTTGGTAGGTATACGACATAAATTAGAATTGATTGACGTATTCAATTGTTTTTGGTCACTTCCTGTTTCACCGGAAATGCCTACAACTTTTGCTTTTTAAATGACACCCTCGGTATATTTCTACTTTATTCGATAGAAAATGACACTCTGAGTAGAATGACATATCATATGTCAACTTTTGACATTTTCGTTTAAAAACTCGTATTTTAAATGTCATTCTAGAGTGCCATGGCTGTGTTAAAATCACTAATTTTTAATCAAGCAGTCTTGGAAAATTAGTTTTGATCGTCTAATGCTTTTCGTGTCTTTCGTGTCATATTTGCAAAAAGCATTTTTTTACGAATAATTTGGTACCACACACTTGGTATTTCGAGTTAAACTGTCGTTATGAACCGCATTTTACAATTTCAAATAAACCATAAATATGCGAAAATGTCAAAAGTTGACATACGATATGTCATTATATTCAGAGTATCATTTTCTATCCAGGAAAGTAGAAATATACCGACAGTGTCATTTAAAAATTAAAAGTTGTAGTCATTTCCGAAAATAAGACAAGAAGTGACCAACAAGTGAAGTGAAGTGATTGAATACGTCAATTAATCCTAATTTATATCATATACATTCTAACATACCAAGTCTTGTTTTTTGTCTAAAAAAATAAAAATGTTATAAGGTCTAATATATTTGAATATTATTTTGTAGAATAATGAAATGGTTAGTTTCTAAGTGTAAATGTTTTTTTTATATATTAAGGAATTTGGTTTGGCTAGTTTTTATATTATGTGCTATCGATATACAGGGTGGTCCGAACTGTATTCCGGAAAGTTCGGCAGCATATTTGACTGATAAAAATAAGTAAAAAAGTTCATATAAATGTATGTCCTAAAATGCTTGGTTTCAGAGATACAGGGTGTAAAAGTTTCATTTTTATTTCAATGTTTTCCAAATAATTTCTGAAGTAACGTCAATATTTGGATGAAAATTGGTGTCTGGGAGTATTTTGACGTGAAAAATTTGATTTTGATGTCAATCTGATTCCTATTTGTAGGGGGCGCCACCTACATGTGTTTTAACTGTTTTGAAGTATAATAACTTTTTGTCCATACCTGTATAAAACTACTGAGTAAAAAAATATACATTTCCGTGATTTTCTACGTAAAATATGTCTCTTGGTAAAATAGCTACGAGCAACCATTCTCAAGATATTTAGAATGAAAATATGTCATTATTAACGAAAAATAAACACGTTGAGTAGATAGTTATTTCACTGAATTAATAAATTTGGGAAATTTTTATTTTTTTTAAATTAATCATAATTTTTTCTGCAAAAAATGACGATAAAACAGCTTCTGTTGAAATTTTAGCATAGAAACATTTAAAATTTATGATTTCAGTCTAATAACTATTTAGTCAACATGTTTAATTTATGTCAGTGATGACAGGTATTGATAATTTAGATTCCAAATATCTCGAAAACCATTACTCGTAACGATTTTTACCAAGAGACCTTTTTTACGTTGAAAACGTCGTAAATGTATAATTTTTAACTTACTAGTTTTATACAGGTACGAAAAGTTATTCTCTTCAAACCAGTTAAAAAATATGTAGGTGGCGCCCTTTACAAGTAGGAGACATATTGACATCAAAATCAAATTTCTCATGCTAAAAAACTCCCATACACCAATTTTCATCCAAATATTGACGTTACTTAAGAAATTATTTGGAAAAAATCGAAATAAAATTGAAACTTCTACACCCTGTATCTCCAAAAATAATCATTTTAGGACATACATTTATAGTGTGACCAACGGATCTGTAGCTACGGGGTATCGGCAGGGGAACGCAGTTGTAAACAGAACACGCCCAATTTCATTCATAAAATAGGCATGGGCGTACGGTGTTTTATGAAAATAATGTGTATCATAAATATAATATTCAGATTAATAATTTTTTTCAAAAAACTTTATGCTGTTTGAATCGTTACTGTTGAGTTAGCAGATAAACACTAAAAGCTTTTATTAAAGCTCCCTTAAATATTTTGAATCATTTTATTATTATGTGTTGTTAATATAATAGAAGAAATAATTACAGCTGGGGGTTGGAACCTTTGGTCTTACACAGCAAAATAAAACACTAAATCAGTACAATACACCAAAACACTTTTAATTTTACACTGGACGCACGTTTCGCTAACCATGTCTGCCATCAGCAGATGATCAAGACTGAGTCTTGAGGTGTATTTATTTATATATCTGTACTAACTATATTTTTTTCTATAATACATAATTTTAGATATAACTATTTCCAGCAAAAAAAAATCTTGAAAATAGTTAACTTTGGAAGCGCAAACAAAACATAATTTTACTCACCAGTAGATCCAATATTACCTATTACACCAGATCGCTCCGCCAGCACTTTTTAAAGGTTAGGTCATTGTCTACCCATATGTTTCATCCAAATAGATAATACTTGGCTATATTTTCGAATTTCGCGTATATATTTATATCTCTCTCTGCAATTTAATGGGCCGCTCCATTAATATTTATCTGTTATTTTGACATTTACGCCAAAAAAATTTATTTGATTTTAATAACCCCTTTAGCGTTTCCCTGCCAAAATTCGATTCTTCCTGCAATTTTTGTAAAAGCTTTCTAATTGTGGGGACGAGTTTGAATTCGAGATAAAATCTATTTATCAAATTCCTGACCACTTGGAAAAAGTCGTCGAGCGTTTCAACAGCAGTCTCACGTGGTCGTTTCTTTCCAGGGCTGGATATCATTTTATCGGGGTTAGTTTCCAGCCTTTTTTTATCTTCTGTGTGAATTTTTTTATAGCCGATACGCTAACTCCGGTATAAAGAAATATCCGCTCAAGTTTACGTTTAAGCGGCAACTTAAGCGAACTCTCTGTAGCTTCTTCGTCGCAAACCCTATTATGAACACAAGGAAATAAACCAAATGAGATTTCATCCACGTTTATTTATATTTATTTTAGTATAGCTAAAATATTTAGGTAAAATGTGTGCTTTTTATTTTAGCCAATATTTAATTTTAATATTCTAATTATATTATTATTATTCTACTTACCTATATAAATTAGCTATTATTTCTCTTGTCTGACTATGTAGCGTCTTACCCTTAACAAATTTATTCATTTTAAAATACAAATATACGATCAAACTTGATATTAATAATTAAAAACTACGAACGAAAAACATTATAACAAGATAACAAAACAATAAAACACAACTATCAAATATACGAAAAATATAGGAATAAAGTTTAGGATAACCGGTATAAAATAATGAAATAAAGTAATAATGATCAAAAGAATGACACCGCCACTGGATATTTCAATAGTATTCAATATTCCTACTCTTTTTAGAAGTGACCGTGAAGTTGAGGATAAAGCAAGCGAATAGGAAAGGCGTAAAAGCCATGGCAACCGCGTGGTAACAAATCCTGTGACGTACTCTCGCCAATCATGTTCGATGAAAAGGCGGGCATGTGCGGCGATGCCGGTTTGCCAGTGATATCGTTGAAAAATCTTCAACTTTCATAATAAGCAGATTATACAGAATGAAAGAAATAAGTTATTAAATAAAACATATCGAACAATATGAACTACGTTAAAATTCCTTAGTAATATACGTCAGAATATATGCTAAACAAATTATATATAATAAAAATATATTAAATTTATAGTTCATGTCTGGCAATTTTGCAATTTTATAGATAAACGTGGCAATGTCGATTTTTCTTTCTCGCATTCCTTCCGTAGCTTCAGATCCGCTGGTCAAACAGTACTTGGGCTGCTACAATCCTGCTTTATCCTGCTTCGTATCCCAATCCAGCCACACCTACCAATTTTGAACTATAGTTACTTTTATTTTGGTTGTTGACTTCCTAGTTGGCAACACATGAGAAGCAGAATCGCCAAAACTGGTTCCTGCTTGCGCTGCTATACCCCTGTTACATCCTGCTCTAAATTTCATCCCAGCAACACTTGCTGTTTTTAAGATACAGCAAGTTTAAGTCTGATTGGTGACGTCACACATAGCAACACAATAAAAGCAGGATGGCAGAAACAAGTTCCTGCTTTTTCTGCTATAATCCTGCCTCATCCTGCTTCAAACCCTATACCAGCCACTCTTGCCGTTTTTGAAATACGGCAAATTTCGTTTTGATTACTGGAAATCGGGAATTGGGGAATTGGAGCTTTCCAATCATGTAACATGTAAAAGATCAAATATAAAATGCTTCTGATGATTCCTTTCACAACGAGACTGCCAGTAAATTACGTAAGAATACCCATGGGCTCATTGGGGATGTAAAATGAAAAAAAAAACATTAAACAAATATCTATGAAAAATAAAATTTTTATTAAACAAAAAACTAAAAATACTATAAATCACGAAAGATAACCATCACGTGACAATTTTACTGTTTATCAAAAACAATTGATACCGCCAATTCAAATGTGTTAGACAGAGACAAAAACAAACAATCCAAAAGCCGCGGGAAATACATAAATACATACATTGCAAATTAAATAAAAGCTTTTAAAACATTTTCAAAAACAAGCTTTTATTTAAATGCTCTAAAAAGAAGAAAATAATTTTCTGTAACGCTTTTACTATGAACTTATAATCTCATTACACAATTTATATGATATATAGTGTGACCAACGGATCTGTAGCTACGGGGTATCGGCAGGGGAACGCAGTTGTAAACAAAACACGCCCAATTTCATTCATAAAATAGGCATGGGCGTACGGTGTTATATGAAAATAATGTGTATCATAAATATAATACTCAGATTAATAATTTTTTTCAAAAAACTTTATGCTGTTTGAATCGTTACTGTTGAGTTAGCAGATAAACACTAAAAGCTTTTATTAAAGCTCCCTTAAATATTTTGAATCATTTTATTATTGTGTTGTTAATATAATAGAAGAAATAATTACAGCTGGGGTTGGAACCTTTGGTGTTACACAGCAAAATAAAACACTAAATCAGTACAATACACCAAAACACTTTTAATTTTACACTGGACGCACGTTTCGCTAACCATGTCTGCCATCAGCAGATGATCAAGACTGAGTCTTGAGGTATATTTATTTATATATCTGTACTAACTATATTTTTTTCTATAATACATAATTTTAGATATAACTATTTCCAGCAAAAAAAAATCTTGAAAATAGTTAACTTTGGAAGCGCAAACAAAACATAATTTTACTCATCAGTAGATCTGATATTGCCTATTACACCAGATATGGTATCGCTCCGCCAGCAGTTTTTAAAGGTTAGGTCATTGTCTACCCATATGTTACATCCAAATAGATAATACTTGGCTATATTTTCGAATTTCGCGTATATATATTTATATCTCTCTCTGCAATATAATGGGCCGCTCCATTAATATTTATCTGTTATTTTAACATTTACGCCAAAAAAATTCATTTGATTTTAATAACCCCCTAAGCGTTTCCCTGCAAAAGGAAAATTCGATTCTTCCTGCAATTTTTGCAAAAGCTTTCTAATTGTGGGGACGAGTTTGAATTCGAGATAAAATCTATTTATCAAATTCCTGACCACTTCGAAAAAGTCGTTGAGCTTTTCGACAGCAGTCTCACGTGGTCGTTTCTTTCCAGAGAGGATATCATTTTATCGGGGTTAGTTTTCAGCCTTTTTTTTATCTTCTGTGTGAATTTTTTTATAGCCGATACGCTAACTCCGGTATAAAGAAATATCCGCTCAAGTTTACGTTTAAGCGGCAACTCAAGCGAACTCTCTGTAGCTTCTTCATCGCAAACCCTATTATGAACACAAGGAAATACACCAAATGAGATTTCATCCACGTTATTATTAACTTACCTATATAAATTAGCTATTATTTCTCTTGTCTGACTATGTAGCGTCTTACCCTTAACAAATTTATTCGTTTTAAAACACAAATATACGATCAAACTTGATATTAATAATTAAAAACTACGAACGAAAAACATTATAACAAGATAACAAAACAATAAAACACAACTTAACTATCAAATATACTAAAAATATAGGAATAAAGTTTAGGATAACCGGTATAAAATAATGAAATAAAGTAATAATGATCAAAAAAATGACACCGCCACTGGATATTTCAATAGTATTCAATATTCCTACTCTTTTCAGAAGAGACCGTGAAGTTGGGGATAAAGCAAGCGAATAGGAAAGGCGTAAAAGCCATGGCAACCGCGTGGTAACAAATCCTGTGACGTACTGCCAATCATGTTCGATGAATAGGCGGCCATGCGCGGCGATGCCGGTTTGCCAATGATATCGTTGAAAATCTTTCAACTTTCATAATAGGCATTATACAGAATGAAAGAAATAAGTTATTAAATAAAACATATCGAACAATATAAACTACGTTAAAATTCCTTAGTAATATACGTCAGAATATATGCTAAACACATTATATATAATAAAAATATATTAAATTTATAGTTCATGTCTGGCAATTTTGCAATTTTATAGATAAACGTGGCAATATCGATTTTTTTTTCTCGCATTCCTTCCGTAGCTACAGATCCGCTGGTCAAACAGTACCCGAACTTTTTTACTTATTTTTACCTGCAGAATATGCTGCTAAAGTTTCCGGAATACAGTTCGGACCACCCTGTATAAGTTCAAATTCAGAATAAAACACTGCTCAGTTGGCCTTCGTTGTATTAATATAAACATCTAAATTAATAAATATTCCTAATAAATTATATAAATATAAAACCTAAGTATTTTACATAACGGTGTGTCACTTTTGAGACCCACCCAGTATAGTATATTTTCAAACAAATATATAACACACTAAAGTATGCATTACAAGCAATGACTAAAGAATTCAAGGACCAATAACACCTGAGACCAAATTGTTACCATTTGTCTCCAAACCCTCTGATACTCAGGATGATATAGGAACTAATAAAGAACTTACCTATACACATTCTTGGTCCCTCCCCGAATGGTAAGAACGTGAATTCGGGTCTTTTAGCCTTATTTTCTTCACTAAAATTCTCGGGATTGAAAACTTCCGGATTTGGATAATAATCTGGATCTCTATGAAGACCATAAACCGGAAAATGAACGCGAATGCCTTTTTCAATGACTACGTCTGTACCAGGCACTTCATATCTTCTATTGCACATTCTAGAAATAACTGGTACTGGAGGATATTTTCTCATTGCCTCTAAAATTGTTAATACAAAAATGATTACATTTCGAATAATATGTACATTCAATACTGTATTTTAGGGTGGGTCAAAAAAATCGATTATTTTTTTTCACTTTATACTCTGAAAAAAAGGTAGGTAAATACCTCACAAAAATTATCTCCTAGTATGAGCTCTTAATTTTAATAGGAAGGTTCAGTTTTCTTTTTTTTGCTTATTACTAGAAAGAAAAATTCATATCTCGTTATCTACTATTTGGAAAAAATATCTCCTCCAGCGCTTTCACATGCGACGGACCGTCCGTCGTGTTTTTTGAAGGTCCGACGGACTGCTTTCACATGAACTTTTAAATCCGTCGGCGATAGACATGAATTTTCAGAACACGCAAACCATTGTTGCCATTGCTTCATTAATTCGACGAAGAAGGCAAAAACGTACGAAAAAGGGAATATTGGTTCATCCAATTCTAAGTAAAAACTTTTAAAAGGTGCTTTTGTGACATCTTTTATTGGATTCACATCATTCATAAAAAAAATTATATTTTTCTCGCAAATTAATTAAAAATGTTTTATTAAGTTCCTGTATATATGAAACAGTTGATAAATAGTATAATATAATCGATAAATCAAATTGTCAACAACTTTTTTCTTTCACTTTTTTATTTTCATGGGCAAAGTCGTAATTATAACTGAATCGCAAAAAGACTATGCTAAAATATTTTTTAATATTTCATTTTAATAATTCCAAATTAATAACTGCGCTTTCACATGCGACGGACCGTCCGCGACGGAGCGTCCGCGACATCCAGCAAGTACCATAGTTTATATGAACAGTTTCACATGGGCGCGTATGCTCCGTCCGGATGATTTCGTCCGTCGGGCATCCGTCGAGCCCTTGCTTCGACGGAGCGTCCGCGCGCGTACGGGCTACGTGTTTAAATACGCTATTTCACATTTACGCGGACCGTCCGTCGCTGACAAAGTGCTGCGTTGCAATGTGCAAGCGTCTTTGCAGCTTAATAATAATGAGTGACTTTAAAATTGATACAGAACTATTGATCTACGCCGTGGAAAACCAAAGAAGTATATGGGATGTCTCCTGCGATCAATATAAAACAGAAATATTAAAAACAAAGCATATGGAGACGTTTCGGCTGCAGTAGTACCCAATTTTGAAAATGTCCGGAAGAACAGTGTAAAGCTGGTAAACAAAAACATTTCCTAATATTATTAGATAAGTTATTAAAATAAACTATTAATGAACAATAATAAACAAGAGATTCTGCATACAAATATTTATACATCTATTAGTATACATAGTTTTTTGGTAAGGCGATTCTAATTTATAATTACATAAGTACGATTTTGCCTATAAATATCAAGAAAAGAATCCTTATAGAATTAGAATACTACTGCAGCCGCAACGTCTCCATATGCTTTGTTTTTAATATTTTTGTTTTTATATTGATCACAGGAGACATCCGATATACTTCTTTGGTTTTCCACGGCGTAGATCAATAGTTCTGTATCAATTTTAAAGTCACTCATTATTATTAAGCTGCAAAGACGCTCGAACATTGCAACGCAGCACTTTATCCGCGACGGACGGTCCGCGTGTATGTGAAATAGCGTATTTAAACACGTAGCCCGTACGCGCGCGGACGCTCCGTCGAAGCAAGGGGTCGACGGTTGCCCGACGGACGAAATCATCCGGACGGAGCATACGCGACCCATGTGAAATTGTTCATATAAACTCATGGTACTTGCTCGAAGTCGCGGACGGTCCGCTCCATCTGAAAGCGCTATCATATGTTTAGGAAATTGAATTCTCTACAAAAAAGGTCTCCTAATTTTTTTTTGTAAACCTCACCGTTCGAAAGTTATTCGAGGTTGAAGTCTGATTGTTTTAAGGCAATTTTCTTCTTCGGAGATGTGAATTTTTCTTTCTAATAATAAGGAAAAAATAGAAAACTGAAAGGCAGAGGACCTTCCTATTAAAATTAAGAGCTCATACTTGAAGATAATTTTTTTGAGGTGTCTATCAACCTTTTTTTTCAGGGTATACAGTGAAAAAAAAATAGTCGATTTTTTTGACCTACCCTAATCATTATTCATTATACTTGCCGTTGACAACCATGTCTAAATATTTCATTTCCATTACTGCTTCATATGTTACTTTTCCATCGTGTACCAGTAATACATCCTCGATTTCCTTTCGCAGTTTGTTTTGGATATCTTGGTTTTGAGCTAGTTCTAAAAGAGCGAACGTCATAGCGGTGGAGGAAGTTTCAAAACCCGCCACGAAAAATATAAAGCATTGGGCTATTATTTCATTGACTGATATTCCTTGTTTGGTTACCCGAGTTGATTTTTGAGAGATATATTCGGAGTTATCACTGACGGTTCCAGTATTCTTCAACTCTAACAGCAGCTGCATGAAATCTTTTCTGTATATCCTGTTAGATTCTCTGTGTTTTATCGTGTCTTGGACGAGATTTATAAAGAAGTTTGCAACCGCATTTCCGGATCTTTTGTATTTTAATTTACCTAGCAACCTCCAAGGGAAAAGGGAAGTAAAGATAAACTTGCTAAGTTTGGGTTCTATCACCCTCTTGCCGACTTTTCTAAAGATATTTTCAGGGTCCTCCAAGGAATTACATTCAATTCCGAAACCGCAACTTCCGATAACATCTGTAGTGAAGCGTCCCAGCACATCTTTAACAGCACAAGGCTCCAAAGAATCAGCGTATTCGCCGAATGCTTTCTCCAAACCTCCAGTTTTCTCTACCAACGTCTCGAACATCATCTTCATCTTACCCGAGGTAAAGGTAGGAGTTAACTTGGCTCGAAGATTCTTCCAAGCCTCATTCTCCATGTTGACCAGATTCATACTCAAAATGTCTTCGGGTGTGTGATAGCTTCCTCGATTCACGAAATGGCTAAAGTCTCTTAGCATGATATTCTTAATTATAGCTGGATCGATTGGCATGTAGACTGGGTTGGTAAAGATGTATATGCCGCCGTGTTTTGAATTGGCCACCTTGAAAGTGTTGTATCTTTGTAGTACGCTGGTTGATAGAGACGTGTCTCCGAAAATGGTTTTGCGGACATTTCCGAAAAATAGGTCTGGTTCGATTTGAATAAGTCCGCGACGCTTCCAATAAGTATTTATCCATTTCATATAAGCTATAGCACAAATTACCGCGACGAATATGATTTCTATAAACATGTTTTATTATATTTAACTGACTGTTAACTCACTGAAGCCATGCACTGAATACCTCATTAACTAAGGATTATTTATCTTTTATACTAGGTTTAGTTCAAACAATTAAATATATGTTTAGCATTCATTAAACACGTTTTATCAGTGCTCTTTTTTTAAATGTTTTTAAATATCATGATGATCTTCCACTTTCAACTGTTATTTGTAACGATAAAAAATAAACCAACACCCATGTGGCCCAATGTGAGTTTATTTTAAATAACTACCCTCAAATGAGGGAATTGTGCGTTTTTTTTCCTTCTTGGAGAGTAGTTTCTTTGATAAAAATTATTTTTTAAGTATTTATCCATAATTTTAAATAGGTAAAAACATTTTTTGTAGTTTGATTCAAACTCTGTGTACCGAGCTTAATATAGGCTCTAGACAAAAAATATACCGATTTTAATCTTTAATGGACTGTAAGAAGCTACAATATACAGAGTGGTCCGAATTAAATTCAAGAATCTTCGGCAGCATATTCTGCAGATAAAAATGATTAAAAAAGTTTGTATAATGTATGTCTTAAAATACTTAATTTCGGAGCGCGACCATACCAACAGGTATGGTAGGTTATTAAGATCGGCAAAAAAAGTGTTTTTATTTTCACTGAAAATGAGTTATCTGGGTGAAAAATGACCTAAATACAAAATATTTTCATGGTGTCTGTCTGTCTGTCCGTCTGTCCGTCTGTAACACGATAACTCAAAAACCGCTAAACCGATTTTTAACAAATTTGGCACAAAAATACTGTGGCACCCGAGAATCTGGCCTTTAGTTTTTAGTGGGGTTGGGGGGTTGATAAAGGGGTATGGGAGGGGGTTAAAAATTTAAAAAAATCGTAACTCCAAAATTACAGTAGCGAGCGAAACGCGGTTTTCAACTTAAGATTAGGAATAATATTTGCAACAAAATTTGTAATAACATCAAAATCAGTCAAAGTCGCAGTTTTTGAGATAAAAAAAATTGGAAAAATTCCTTTACTTTGAAACTAAAAGAACTGCCTACCAACTTTTTATTAACATATTTTAGTATGGGCGGCTATACGTGCCTCCCGGCGCCATTTTTTTTTATTTTTATGTAAACAGGTATTACTGCCTTCAGGTGCAATTAGAAAACATGAGATAATATAGTCGACACCTGTATTTAAAACAAGATATGTTATTTTCATTTCAAAATGATGCCACAAAATGAAAATTATAGTTCAATTATTTATGTAATTGGACAAACTAGGGATAATTTCAAGAAATTAATAAAACAACCAGAGTTTTAAAGATAATAATATTTATTCTTTAATAAAAAAAAAATTGGCGCCGGGAGGCACGTATAACCGTATAGCCCATACTAAAATATGTTAATAAAAAGATGGTAGGCAGCTCTTTTAGTTTCAAAGTAAAGGAATTTTCCCAATTTTGGTCCGCGGTTATTTCCCCTATCCGCCACCTAGGGTCGCGTCCGATGGGAGTTTGGAGTTGTCCACACGGATTTTCTCAAAAACGGACTACAGAATCACGGAATATCTCAAAAACTGCTTTTGATGTTATTACAAACTTTGTTGCAAATATTATTCCTAATCTTAAATTGAAAACCGCGTTTCGCTAGCTACTGTAATTTTGGAGTTACAATTTTTTTGAAATTTTTATACGCCTCCCATACGCCCTTACCAACCCCCCACCCCCACCAAAAACTAATGGCCAGAATCTCGGGTGCCACAGTATTTTTGAGCCAAATTTGGTTAAAATCGGTTTAGAGGTTTTTGAGTTATCGTGTTACAGACGGACAGACAGACAGACAGACACTATGAAAATATTTTGTATTTAGGTTATTTATGACCCAAATAACTCATTTTCTTCTTAATAGCCTACCATACCTGTTGGTATGGTCGGCTAATAAACCTTCCGGTTTCTATGAAATTATTAATATTGTTATATTTCAAGAATTTCGTTACCATGGCACTTTTAGAAATTTAGCAAATAAAAGTCTAATTAGCCGACCATACCACTATTGATACCTAGCCTTCTATACCTATGTATGGTAGGCTCAAGGGGTGTCTCACTATTGGAATTACATGTACATTTTCTTGGCAGTCATTGGCATTCTTATGTCAGTCATTGGTAGTCTTATGGCAGTCGCCTATAATAATTACATGGCAGTTATAGGCAGTCTTCTTCATAGGCATTAGCAGTCGCTTAGCAGTGGAAGGATATTTTGGCAGTACGTGTACATTTTTTACCCGAGTGAGACACCCCTCGGGTAGGCTATTAAGATCGGCAATTTTTTTTTTTTTTTAATTTCACTCGAAATGAGTTATTTGGGTCATAAATGACCTAAATACAAAATATTTTCATAGTGCCTGTCTGTCTGTCTGTCCGTCTGTCCGTCTACCGTCTGTAACACGATAACTCAAAAACCGCTGAATCGATTTTAACCAAATTTGGCACAAAAATACTGTGGCACCCGAGAATCTGGCCATTAGTTTTTGGTGGGGGTGGGGGGTTGGTAAGGGGGTATGGGAGGGGGTTAAAAATTTTAAAAAATCGTTACTCCAAAATTACAGTAGCTAGCGAAACGCGGTTTTCAAATTAAGATTAGGAATAATATTTGCAACAAAATTTGTAATAACATCAAAATCAGTCAAAGTCGCAGTTTTCGAGATATTAACATATTTCAGTATGGGCGGCTATATATATGTGCCTCCTGGCGCCAATTTTTAATACTTATAATTAGCCTAAAAATACTTAAAATAAGTGGAATATTTGTCTTGGTAACGATTTTCTTTAAGAAAGAACTATATTAGAATCATTATTTCTTTTAATCTCTTTACCCAAGAAACCAAAAAGGTATAATAAAAACATGATATATCGTTGAAAAGCAATTCTATTTTTCTTTTGATTTCTTAAATAATATACATGTTGAATTTAAAATAAAAAAGATTTAAGCGATTTTATAACAGATGGACATAAATAATGTTTATCTGTATGTGATATCCAATCGGTTCTTTTAGAAAGATCAAATATATCGACTTTTCTTAACCCAAATTTCAACTTTAAGAATGCTCATTTCATGATTTTAGCAATGTCTATTACAGATCATGTTTTTGTCAATTTTACACGTTTTATTGTTTATCTCGGAAATTGGTAGGAATTACTTATATATGTTAGTGTGAGATAGAAAAATTATGAGATATGAAATGGCAACAGCAGTTCCTAAAAATAAAATATACCTAGTAATATAAACAAGGCTAGTATATACCAGCTTGTTTTATTTACAATAACAAAGATGCACTTTTCAAATCATGCTACAATACTTGTAACGCTGAAAATGATTTAGATAGTTCGATAGTTGGAACCATGTTGGAACAGGTGTCTACTTATTACTGTGTTATTACCTATACAGAAACGTATTAACAATAATTATTATATATTTTGTTGAACCCACACAGTCTAGTATAAATAAATATATTACAATCTTACTATACTTATACAATAATATAAAAGTTCTCTAAATTATTTTTTTCCTAAACGTAACAATCACATAATTACACACATTTTATTATACAAAGTCTTAAAGCTTTCAATTACAAATAAGATAAATTGTAAAATAATATCCTCCAATATTTTAAACTCTTTTAACATCCAGCCAAATATCTCCTTTCACGCTCAGAATAATTCCAGACTTTTCCATTTCGAAAGGAATCTTAGTCTTATTATTTAACGTAAAACGGTAGTTTCTTAACAAGCTGATCAAGCCCACTTTGGTTTGTAACAATCCGAATCTTAAACCTAGAAAAGAAGTATTTATTAATACATAAATTAACATAATTATTGTTTACTAAAATGTTGGTGAGTTTTTAATTTGAATTTTTCGTTGTAATAGGCTTCTTTGAAAAAGTCAATACTAAAATACGTTATATTTCATTGCATATACAGAGTGGACCAAAAGTACATCATTACTACATTGATTTCCACTATTTCAAATGCATAGTTTTAGATATACAATTTATATTTTCGGATTTTCTATATACATCCAAAATCAATATCTATTTATGAATTAATATTTTGTTATTTATTATTAATTTTCAATTACATAGATATAATAGTTATTAATATACCGGGTGTTGCATCGTCGAGCGGGACATAGGAAATCTCATGTAAATTTTAATGGGGTCAGTTATTGGCTTCCCTAATTATTTTAGAGAATAATTCTATTTAGGTTTATTGAAGAGCACTAAAACCCACATTCAAAAGAATAACTTTAGATATGTATTTTTGATTAGCCCGTTTACGAGTTATCGCCGATTTCTTTTTAAACATTTCTCCTTTCTTATGGCCCTGTATTTACTTATGAGCACCAGTCAAGGTAAAAGATAACTGTCAAATGAAGTTGCCATTTCAGAAATTTATCTGTTTAGTGCTTTATTATTATTATTAAAAACTCATACCTACATCGAAAATATTAGCCATGAATTACACTACCGAAGAAAAAGTATTGATGGTTAAATAGTATTATCAAGGAAATAGTTATCGAAAGGTGTCGGACATGTTTGCTGCTCTGTATCCGAATAGACCGATACCTGGAAAATCTACAATCGCAAGGAATATCCGGAGATCTGAGACCAAAGGTACCCTAATAAATAACTGCAGATGTGAAGCAAGGCAGGAACAAAGAGAAAATGCAAGAAATGATACCGACTTGGAAGTTTTATTGTGCGTGGAAGAGAACGATGGAAAGATCAGCACAAGGAAACTTGAGGATGAAATAGGAATAGATCACACTACAGCGTTTCGAATTTTGAAACGACATAAATACTATTCCTTCAAATATGAAAAGCACCAAGAGCTACGAGATGGGGACAAAATACGGCGGCAGGCGTTTTGTTTTGATATGATGGAAAGAGCAAACACGGATAGGGAATTTTTAAAAAACATATGTGTCACTGACTAATGCACGTTTACCTTAACTAATGAACCCAATGTTCAAAATTATCGATATTGGAACAAAGAAAACCAACACAGGTTTGTCGAAACAAGGACGCAATATCCACAGAAAGAAAATGTTTGGGCAGGGATATTCGGACTCAATATTATCGAGCCATTATTTCTTACGCGAAATTTAAATGCAGAATATTATTTGGAACTACTCGAAAATCATATTTTACCTGCTTTACATGATGCCGCTAGGGAAAATCAGGAAGTTTGGTACCAAATGAATGGCTGCCCAGCACATAGTACCCTGGCTGTTCGGGAATATTTAGACAATAGTTTTAACGGAAACGTTATTGGCCTAAATCATACAGTAAATTGGCCAGCAAGGTCTCCTGATATTTCGCCAAATATTTCTTTCTCTGGGGCCATTTAAAAAACAGGATATAAAAGGATAAAAAATACCCAAATCTAGACGAGTTAAAAAATGCAATAGAATTTCAGGTTACCAACTAGCGAATGTAAGAAGAGAATTTTATGATCGCCTGGGTTATTGTCTAGCAGTCGATGGAGGAATATTTGAACATCTTATTAAATCCTAAAGTTCTAACAATTTAATAGTACCTAAATTAATAAGTTATTGAATATTGTAATAATACTATAATTAACCTTGTAATTGATTACTTTATTTTACTTTAATTCATATTAATTTGTATTTATAAATACATCTTTAAGATTTCCGATGTAGGAATGAGTTTTCAATAATAATAAAGCACTAAATAGGTAAATTTCTGAAATGACAACTTCATTTGACAATTATCTTTACCTTGACTGGTGCTCATAAGTAAATACAGGGCCATAAGAAAGGAGAAATATTTAAAAGAAATCGGCGATAACTCGTAAACGAGCTAATCAAAAATATCTAAAGTTATTCTTTTGAATGTGGGTTTTAGTGCTCTTCAATAAACCTAAATAGAATTATTCTCTAAAATAATTAGGGAAGCCAATAATTGACCCCATTAAAATTTACATGGGATTTCCTATGTCCCGTCCGACGATGCAACACCCGGTATGTGTTTTAGGGAGTGCGTAGTTCGAGTCTTTAATAAAATTGTCACAAACGCATGTATCTACAAGGTGTTTCAAAAAACATGTGTCAACTCTCGTGGGGAAATTCCTCACGTAAAAATAAGATTTATTTTTTATATCAACATGGGTCCGATTCTGCTCTCTTTCGCAGCTACAAGATGTTAGTCTTAATAATCTTTCGATTTATTATAATTTTCTTTCAAGTACTTTTAGTGATTCTAATGAAATCTTGAGGGTAAAAGTTACATTTTCATGTTAAAAAAGTGTCGATAAATTCATCAGGGAAAATTCATAAAAAAAACATGTGCGCCACTGTCTTTTTTTCTTTTGATATCAAAATTGTGTAGGCCGTTTAATGCAGATTAAAAGTTCTCTCTTGATATTTTGTCCAATTCGACCTCCTTGCTGAGATAAACGCAATTTTATTAATCACAGCTAATAAAATTAAAATAAAATTAATAAGTTATATATTTTACCTAATTCATTATTAAATATTATTGCTATTAATTATTATTACTATTAGTCTAACCTACAGCAATTTCAAATAAAAAAATAATGGTATTTAAGATAATTACGGAAAACATAATTTTAAAAAGTTTTAACATCCTGTAACTCTAAAACTATGCATTTCCATACCCATGTTTATAGGAAATTTTTTCATATTTTTTGATGAGGAACCAATGAGTACTTATTTAAAACTTTCGCAAGTTAATGATATTAATTTTTTTTTAAAGGTTGCTATTAGACTTGGATCAAGGCAAATAAATAAAATTGCGTGTATCTCATCAAGGAGGCCGAAATCGACAAAATATCAAGAGACAACTTTTAATCGGCATTAAACTGCTTACACTTTTTCGCTAACAAGAAAAAAAAGTCAGTGGCGTACATGCTTTTTTTACAAAAATATTTCAATGATAACCCATATGCACGTCCCTGGTGAATATGTCGATGTTTTGTTGCTTTAAAGTATGTATGTCGCATTTATAGTAACTTTTACCTTCAAGATTTAATTCGAAACGCTAAAAGTACTTGGAAGAAAATTATAATAAATCGAAAAGACTGTAACACCCTGTAGCTGCGAAACAAAGCAGAATCGGACCTATGTTGATATGAAAAATAAATCTTATTTTTACGTGCGAAATCTCCCCGCGAGAGATGGCACATGCTTTTTGAAACACCCTGAATATATTATTTAGTTAAAATTATAAAAATTTGATAGGAAAAATTGAATTAAAGATAGGCGTTTGTTGTTATGGTAACTATGTTGTTTATGTTTAGTATATATACAAACAAAAGCTGGACAAAAGTAAAGTTCGGAGCTTGTGTCATAAGGACTTGCAACGCCGGAAAACTAAATAATAATAATATACCGTATGATTGAAAAAAAAAGCGTCCAGTTGGCTTGGAAATGACGATCGGTGACATTCTCCATATAATTTTACATGTAAAATGACAGTGATCTTCATTTCATAGCCATCGCTGACGTCGTTTTTTTTCGAGCATACGATATTATACAGGGTGAGTGTTAAATAATTGCAATTATTTTCAGGGCTGGTAGATCTCGATTAAAGAAATATATTTTCTCTTTACCGTTTTTCCAATAAGTCCAAAATAACCGAGTTATTTTACTTTGAAAATTTCCAAAAAAAAAACTTTATGCTTAAATTTTGAGGACCACTGAGGAGCATTTCTGGGTTTTCTTTCTTGTAAATTTAACCTACTATTTATGTTGCCATATTATCAAGAAATTATGTTTTTAACTAAGAACTAAAAAAAATCCAAAAAAATTTTCAAAAAATTCCAAATTTTTAACTTTTTTCGCGAAAAAAAAGTTATAATCGTGTTTCAGGTGTCAGGAGATACAGGGTTGTTCACCACATACGACACGGAGTATACTAGCTAAACGATTAGATTTTTACAAATTGTAAGTTTTGAGTTCGTTGAAGGACTATTAGAGCTACAATTTAAAAATATTTTTACAAGATACAAGATAAGCGTGTCCCAAATAAATAAAAAATATCAAAGTTGTATTTTTTTAAATGGAACACCCTGTATATTATTATATTTTTAGTTTCTATGATTAAAATAAAGGTAAATTTGATTAAGGTTTATCACACTTAAACCTTACCGTTTTTGAAATATTTTCAATTTTGTGAAATTGCAGTAATAATTTTAAAGCTTCAGTTCTCCAAGGGTATCAAAGTTTTTAATACCAAATATGTACTGAAGTTTATTTATTGATCAGTTCTTGTGTTGCAATAATAAAAATAATACTACCTCATACAGAGTGTCTAAAAATTTATTTTAAATAATTTCTAGCTTTAAACGGCAATAACTTGTTTAATTTAAATGGAACATCCTGTACATTTTAAGAGAATCAGATGCACAATTTAATTGTCTATCAAATTATATTATACCATTTTTTACCCATCCCTTCAAGTTTTCGTGGACAATGCATTTTCTTATAATTTAGACCTCATTTATACCCAAGGAATATTGACATTTTAGATTGTTTTTAAAGCAATAAATGTACAAAATGATTTTTAGCAAAACGATAATATTACTAGCCCATTTGTATGCAAAAAGAATATTATTTAAATCTTTATAAAAGAGTATACCATTAATTAAATATAACACCATTATTTCCGCCCAAATACTAATTAATTACATACTTAATTGTATTCGTTAATAAATTATTCTAAATAAATGTGGATTTGAATCAGAAATCAATATAATAATAAGTTATGAAAATAAACGTCTCTGTTGTTATAAATAAGCATTTATTAAAAAATGGAATATCATTTTTAAGGTGTTAGTTTTTACCACATTCAAAATACACATCAGTTTTTTAGTATTTGAGGCAATTATTATTAATCAACGCAAACAGTCAGTTAATATAATTTCAATACTGGAATCATATTAATTGGTTCTCTTTAACAAATATTTAAACAGGTTTTTTTTTATTTTTTTAATGAAATAAACGAATTATATCGACAATATTAGTATCTGTACTCTTTAAATTTTGGTACATCTTTAAAAATAATCTAAAATGTCAGTATTCCATGGGTATATTGATAAATAAGTTCTAAATTACAAGAAGATGCATTTTCTACGGAAACTTAGAGATAGGTAAAAAATGGTTTGGTTTGGTAAAATTGTGCATCTGATTTTCCAAAAATATACAGGGTGTTCCATTTAAATTAAACAAGTTATTGCCGTTTAAATCTAGAAATTATTTAGAATAAATTTTTAGACACTCTGTATAAGGTAGTATTATTTTTATTATTGCAACGCAATAACTGATCAATAAATAAACTTCAGTAAATATTTAGTATTAAAAACTTAGATACCCTTGGGGAAATGAAGCCTTAAAATTTTTACTGCAATTGCACAAAATTGAAAATATTTCAAAAACGGTAAGGTTTAAGTGTAGTAAACCTTAATCAAATTTACCTTTATTTTAATCGTAGAAACAAAAAATGTAATAATATACAGGGTGTTCCGTTCAAAAAAATACAACTTTGATATTTTTTATTTTTATTTGGGACACACTCTTCAACGAACCCCAAACTTACAATTTGTAAAAATCTCATCGTTTAGCTACAATACTCCGTGTCGTATGTGGTGAACAACCTTGTATACTACCCCTAAAATTATTTGCACTTATTTAAGGCTCATCCTGTATAGAATGAGTATGGTCTTTTACCTATGCACATCCTAGGTCCTTCGCCAAATGGCAAAAATGTGAAGTCCGGTCTTTTGGCTTTGTTTTCTTCTGTAAAGTTTTCGGGGTTGAACACATCAGGGTTGGGGTAATATTCGGGGTCTCTGTGAATACCCCAAACGGGAATTTGTACGCGAATGCCTTTTTCTACAACAATGTCCGTGTCTGGAATTTTGTACGTTTTACTACAGATTCTCGGTATGGCAGACACTGGTGGAAATTTCCTTAAAGTTTCTGGAAAAAAGTTGATCATTTGATATGGGAATTTGATATAGGTATTTCAAATGTTAATAGATAATTTAATATTCTTTATAAGTGATGTTTTTATGACTTTTTTTGAAAAATATGTTCATTGAACACAATTTTCCTCTATACAAAAGTGCTTCATTTGTCCGCTAGAGGGCATCAAACTTTAAAAAAATAAACACATTTTTTCAGATATTTTAAAAACCGTTATTCCGATTTGAATGAGATTTTGGGTGTTATGTTTTGTTAAGTGCTCTAAAACATTTGGCTTTCACAAAAATCAAGAAAAAGTACGGAAAGGGTGAAAACTACCCCCATCCCTATAAATTTTAGTATAAATATTTTCCGACTCCACCGACGATGTAGCGTTTTTTTACAAGAGACAAAAAATGTATTAAATACTACAGGGACTATTTTACGAAAAGAAAATCTGTCGTTGGTGGAGTTGGAAAATATTTATACTAAAATTTATGTAGGGTGGGGGTAGTTTTTACACTTCCCGTACATTTTCTTGATTTCTGTGAGAGCCAAATGTTAAAGCACTTAGCAAAACATATACATCTAAAATTTCATTCAAATCGGACTAACGGTTCTTAAAATATCTGAAAAAATGTGTTCATGTCTTTAAAATTTGATACCCTCTAGCGGAAAACGCAGCACTTTTGTATAGACGTAAATTGTGTCCAATAAACTTATTTTGATTACTTAATATGTAGTAGTTCTATGTCCACGGAATATTGGGACTCCTTGTATATCTAACAGCAAAATAGTATGTTTGTAACGAGGTCTAGACAGCCACCAAGTTAAAATCTGGTTTTAACTTGGAAAGTTTTAAAGAGAAAAACAGTTATTTTTTATACAAGACGATAAAATGGTATTTTATTTAATTTCGGGAGACAATAATGCAATTTTATCGTCGTGTATAAAACTTTTATAAAAAAATTTTTCCATAGCGAGTTACGTTTCAAAAAATATTCAGAAATTATTATTTCAAGGAATTTATTACGAGTAGAAAAAATACTGTGCTGGGTTGGCGTTGGTTTCTATGTAATTTGACAAATAAATAAAGCTGTCTCTTTAGTTGTCAGTTTTGATGATTGAATTGGAACCACAGAAATGGCTCAAAACTGCTAAAAACGAAATAAGTAAATTACCAACAGATATTCAGGCTGAGGCGACAAACGCCATATCCAAACTACTTCCATTTAAATCCCGAATAACTTATGAAAAGGAATACACAAATTTTCAAAAATGGAAGCAATTAAAAAACGTGCGAGAAGAAATAAAGTTTTTAATCTATCCTCGCTGTTAAAGTATCATTTAATCTACTCTTGCGGTTAAAGTGCTATCTACTATTTTTGATAGATATAAGGCAATTTTAACAGTTACTATGGAAAAATATATATTTTTCTTACCATTTACTACTAAATCCAGATATTTCATTTCAGCCACGGCATCATAGGTCACCTTTCCGTCATGCTTTTCCAAAACTTCAACGATTTCTGTCCTTAGTTTTTCCTGGATGTCTTCATTTACTGCTAGCTCGTAAAGTGCAAAGTTCATAGCAGTTGAAGATGTCTCAAACCCAGCCAAAAAGAAAATAAAACATTGGGCTATAATTTCATTCTCTGTTATTGATTTTTCCCCATTTTTTAATTGAAGCAACAGATGCATGAAGTCCTTTCTCAAAACATTGTGCGTTTCCCTATATTTGATCGTGTCTTTCACGACCTTGGTGAAGAACTCAGTAACATCATTTCCGCTAAGTTTGAAATTCAGCTGGCCCAGTATCCATTTGGGTATTACAAATATTTTCCATAATTGTTTTGGGGCATTTTGAAAAACCTTTTTACCAAAGGTCCGGAAGTCACTGTTCGGCTCCTCCAAGGAGTTGCATTCAATTCCAAATGCACAGCTTCCAATGATATCAGTTGTAAACCTACCTAGAATGTTTTTGATCTCACATGCTTCTCCTGAATCAGCATACTGTCCAACAACTTTTTCCAATCCGTGCGTTTTTTCGACTAAGGTATCGAACATCATCTTCATTTTACCTGAAGTAAAGGTGGGAGTTAGTTTAACCCTTAGATGCCTCCATTCTTCGCCTTCTAAGCTGAATAAATGCATACTGAGCACATCTTTAGGATGGTGATATGTTCCGTGGCCCAGAAAATGGTCAAAATCCTTCGTCATGATTCTTTTAATAATAGCAGGATCGATGACCATAAGAAAAGGGTTGGTGAAGACGTACGTTCCAAGAACTTTTTGTTTTAGTTCTCTACCTCTTCTGTATTGGTCGAAAATGATTTCAGACAATGCCTTTTTTGTTTTGAAAGTGAATTTGGTGGTATCTGCCACTACAACTCCTCTTCGTTCCCAATAGGATCCTCTCCATTTTATTACAGCCCATGCTGTCAAAATTAAGGCTAAAACACTGGTAACTATCGTAGCAAACATCGCGATAAACGACTAGATATCACTATCGAATTGAATGAGACTGACAAGGTTCTTTTTAACAGTCAAATCGATTACTTTATATTTATCTCGAAATACAACGTACAACTTAACAAATATAGCTAGAGACGTGAGAAATATAAAATAAGAGACGCCCCTTGATGCGCAGTGGACAGCCCACAAATTTGCTTGAATTATGCTTGAATCAGATTTTTCGTAGCGTAACTGCATCTCTCTTCCGCCGAATGCGTTCTCTCTCTATCGTGTACGCGACCGGTGCTATCCCCAAGTCTCTTCTTATATTTGTCAAACTGTATATATAGTATGTAGTTATTTTAAAATAACGTGACTCATGATTCACCACGATAAACAACAAACTCGAAGCAATTTAAAACTAATGTACTAATTATCAGCGTTATTATGTGATTTTGTATTACAAACTGCACATTATTTATCTGTTTTTACTTGCAAAAAATATTGTCAATATAGATGTTATATTCAATTTGATTTAAATTTCTCTATGTCATCTGCAAATTTTGAAAGAATTGAATATTTCGTAATATTACAAAATGGTTTCGTTTTTTAATATTATGGTCTCTCTCTTAATCTGATTTGATACGATTGGATTGTATTTTTTTTTTCATAGACGTGTTTCTGGGGTTGAATTATACTTCCCCTAAAAATATTTGCGCTTATTTAAGATTCACCCTGCGTACACAGAAAAAAAACATCTCTAGATTAGATAAAATACTTAAGCACTATAGGAACAGACAAAACCTTATTTTCCGTATCTAAATATTTTGACTAGAATTTCTCTCCTAATATAAATAACACTATTATGTAATTTATAAAATATTAATTATTAAGAATTAATAACCATTTTTGTGTTTGAAATAAAGTCGTTAGTTTTTTCAAATAAAATATTATGTACTCTACAAAAGAAAATTTAGTAGTTGAAAACAGATGAAAAATATAGTTGTGTGTGATAAACAAACGTTTTATCAAAAAATGGGGAGGTAATTCACTAAGGTACATAGGAAGAAGTACTAATTTAGAAAAATCGCATGTTGTAGTAAATACTTTTATTTTATCAAATACAAAATAAACGTGCTGGTGTATATAGTATCTTGGCGTGAGTGAACTAATATACCACCTACATTAGAAAAGTTTTTTACTAAACCAACAAAGGGAATTTGCTAGGGTAGATAAGCACACATGCTTACTTAGAGAAAATTCTTATGTAGATTCAGGGTTTATGGTTATCCTTCAGCCACTTCTAAGCGAGGGAGCTTCCACCGTCCTGCTGGTTTTTCCTTTCGTATACTTATTGTTGGCAAAATATAATCCAGTAATTGCATTACAATGTTAGCTCTAGCGCCTAAAAAATTAAATACAAAATTATTAAATCTCGGATACTTCTGTTACTTTATAGATAATATTACCTGAAGAAATATCATCTGTCAACTCGTTTAGTAGTTTCCTTATTGCGTTGTCTTTAGAAAAGTTAAACACTTGCAAAAAGACAAAAAAACTTGCATATTCTATTTGAATAAATTCCCATAAAATAAATAATTTTCCACCTGGAAATAATTTACTATTATACATATATTATTATACAAAGCTATCTGAAAATTTTATTTGAGTAATTTCAGGGATGATTTTATCTAAAAAACATGAAAATTTCTGCTATTGATAATATTATGATTGGTGTATAAATAAATAAATGATTGATTTACCTCTTATGTTTATAAATGTTCTTATGATTAGAACCATTGATATGTTGTATAAACCTGCCTTTAAATTTACCAAAAGATAGAATTCATGAATTTTGCATTTATCGTTTTATGTTGCATTAGTCTTAAAATTATAATAATTATCTGAGTAAAATTGGAAATTACTTACCCACAGAATCTTTCATGATTTCTTCGAGGTCTCACTCAATCAATAATCTTGCTTTTCTTCCATTATTACCTTATTACAGATTTGACACAGTAAAATCAAAGTCTAAATACTTGACTGGTTGTTTCTATATATCTATTGTAATATATAGACTTTGGTAAAACAATCGAGTTTCTTTCACTATTATCTAAATATTTAAGACGTTGCAAACGCTGCGATGCGATGGTTAGATGGCAATAAATGACGCAGTGCCGATGCGAAGTTACGATCTGTTTTAATTATATTTTTTGTTAAGCGAAAAAATAAATAGTCTCCATTATTCCGTATCACTATCTGGAGTAGCTAAGAACCTTGTCTAATTTAAACATTAATAATTTGTTAATATAACAAATTATTTTTTCGAACACATAAGTTATGTTTTTTAGATTGCTGGCGTACTTTAAAACTTATTTAAGTTAAATAATTTCACAAACGCTCGTCTACAAGTTTTTTGATTGTTTTAAACAAAATAATGTCTTACTTTAAAGCCCCATACTCACACTTCGCTACTTCACTTCGTTCCTTCCTCGCGTCCCTTCATCCAAAAATCATATATTTACTATGGGAAAATGTCGATTTTATGCGACTGTGTGTTCCTTCCTACTTCGTCAAAACGCTACTTCGTCCGTTTACTTCCTCGAAACGCTCCTTCCACGTACTGTCGGTTTTTGGAGGAAGTAGCAAAGCAATTATCATGAACACAAAAAAATATTAAAATATATAAAATAAATAAATCCATCTTGGATTTCATTCGTAGTTGATTTCTTGATTTGGCAGTACGTCTGTACAGGGTGTCCCATTTTCGTGTGTTTTACAGGGTTTCTCGTATATGAGTCGAGATACAAAGATGCGGTTTTCACATTACGCTGTTATTTTTTTATGAAACTAAAGATGCTATGTCCCCAAGTCTCTACCTATATTTGTCAAACTGTATATCTACAATATTTCTTATATTGTAGATATACATATCTATATGGTAGATATTATATATTGGTATATTTCTACTCCTGGTATTATACCGGGTATTTACTATGCGGTCGTCGGAAACTCCTTTTATTAAAATTAGGATGTTCATCTAAATCTACAGGTATATACATATATACCGAGATTTTATTTATCTACAAATTGGGTACTTACCCACCGCCCATCACTGACCCTTTTCACCTTTTCGATAAGTTATAAGATAATCGAGATACAAAGGTTATCGAAAAATGCAAAAATTTCTACTAATTAAAAATAAAAAGTAAAAGAAAGAAATAAGAAATAACTTTGAACTAAGAAGGCTAGGATAAATATGTGTGTAGCATATTTAGTTTCATAATAAGTAGAACAATGATGTGAAAACAGCATCTTTATATCTCTATTCATAAACCAGAAACCCCATAAAACACACAAAAATGGGACATCCTGTACATCTAGCAATCGCCAGTCGATATAAAAATAATTCACACACAATAGTCTAAAAAATGGAAGAAAAAAACAATATTGTCTTCGTATTTGTGAAAAAATGCATGTCCATATTTATGTAATCGTAGCGACAAAAATAAAAAAATAGAAATAGTGTGCATGATGCCTTTACAAAAATATCTGAAGAAATAGGGATTGACATCATCAACGTTTAATTAGTATGTCATATTTCATGGTTTCGACACAGCTTAGTTATTCTGTAAGCTGTGGTTTCGATATAAATTACATAATAAACTTTACTCTATTGTTGACTCGCCTTGTACATTCATACTGATATACCTTGTACATGATACTGAAATATTCGGATTTATTAAAAAAAATATATATTATTAAAATTCAATTTTTATTTTTGACACGACAAAGAATTGCAGTTTTATAAAATAAAAATTATGCGCCTTTCGGATTTTTTAAAAATGTTAGAGGTTACTAGATATTTTGTATTAAACATGTAGCTGCTTTATTAAAAATATTTTGTGGTGTGTTGTTGCATAATTGTCTAATTTCCAAGCATCGAATAGGCGAAGGAAGGAAACGAAGGGACGAAGGAACGCGAGGAAGTAAGGAGAGGAAGGAGCGAAGTGTGAGTATGGGGCTTAATAAAACATTGTGTTGAAACACAAACGGTATAAAATAAATTTGAGTCAAATAAAAAAAGTTTTCTGTCAGGTCTACATAAAAAAGACAATAGTACTAAACAGCATTTGTTTTAAAAGTAAATAGGTCCTATTTCGTTAAACTACACTATTAAAATTAATAAACATAAACAAACGATTTATGTTTTTAATAATTAGTAAGTTGTAAGTCTCCCTAATTCAAATAAAGTTTAATTTGAACGAGAAAATATTGTTAGAAGAAAAAAATTATTCTTGTGCATAATGTATCTTGTAAATTTGACTACTGCTTTATCTGAATCCAAAAAAATACACATGTAATTCATGTAATTACTCATCAGATAATAAATCTTATCTAATTACGCCAAGTTATTTTTTTCTGTGTACCTATTAAAAATTAGGAATTTATTTTGTGCGTGATTTTGTTTATTGTTAATAGACATTAATACATATATTATTAGATACAAATATATTACACATATAAAATGACCAAATTAGAAGATTAAACTCTAGTAACATCCAACCAAATGTCCCCTTTCGCTGATAATACTACACTGGCCCTTTCCATTTCGATGGGCATCTTGGTTTTGTCATTCAAAGTAAAATTGAATTTTCTTACCAGGCTTATCAGACCCACTTTGGTTTGCATCAGTCCAAATCTCATACCTAAATGAAATAAGTTCAATTATATTGTACAGGGTGTCCCATTTTCGTGTGTTTTACAGGATATCTTATTGCTTACAGGTAGAGACACAAATATATTCACATCACTGTGCTACTTTTTTTATGAAACTAAAGATGATACACACAGATTTTTCCTAGTTAGTTCCCGAAATACAGGGCGAAATTAAAAATGTTGCATTTTTCGAGCCCACATATCTCGGTTATCTTATAACTAATCGAAAAGGTGAAAACTGAGCCCAGTAGACATTTTCACGTAGAATCCAGTGGCGGAACTAGTTTTTCGTTGGGAGCTGTCGTTCTTGAAATATAACCTAAACTTATGTTTTTTTTTTTAAATGGGACACCCTGTATATTACTTTTTAATTATATTTGCATTGTCATGAGCTTCCTAAAAATATATACCCTATACTTATTTTCATAAATAAGGTAAAAAATACATTTGTAACTGTTTAACACCCTGTAAAACACACGAAAATGGGACATCCTGTACAGGGTGGTCGAAATTGGTCTGTTTTAATAGAGAAAACATATTTCCTGACTAGATAAAGCAAAACCGACATAGATGTCATGGGCTCGATTTCTGAGAAACGTTTAATGGCGTAAACCGCCTTTTGATATTTTCACTGCCAACCAGAGATACGGGGAATTTTTTACCATTTAGAAAATTGCCCATAATTTTTGTTTTCGCGGAATAAAATTCTGAAAAAACATTCTTAAGGCACTTTTTGAAGCACAATCCAGTGGCGTAGTCAGTTTTTTTCTATACATGCTCTTTTAGTCAGAAATAATAAAAAATATAATTTTTTAAATGGAAATCAAGGTTGACTATGAAATTAAAAAACTGCTGGTATTTAACCCTTTCCAACGATATAAAGTTATGTGTATTTATTTCTAAAAATGAGAAAAATATTACGTTTTTTATCTTTGTATCGAAGCGGGCCTTGATTTTGTGTTGACCTATAGTTGCCTAATTATTTTTTATCACAATTTAATATTCTATATCATTATTTATCTGCAAAATTAAAGACTTTTGAAAAGGTAAATCAACATTCTGTATTAGTATTACCATTTACAATTAAAAAGCCAGGGTCACAACTGCACTATTAAATGGAGAATTGGATTAGAACAAGGGATCCCATATCTTGGCCTCCTAGATCCTGTGATGTGAAGTAGCTCCTTTTTCGACTTTTTTTATGGGGGAAATTAAAAGGCCTTATATATAAGGGAAGAACCATTGGGACGAGAGAAGAATTGCAGAAGGCTACTAGGCAGGCTTTTGAACTTATTACACCAGTTCGCCTAATAAATTGTTGTAACTCTGTGCGCAAAAGATGTTTATTGTGCATTTAACAAAGGGGTGCTCAGTTTGAACATCTTTCATGATTTTTTTTTAGAAAACTATATTCGTCACTCAAAGAATACTTTTTTTAGTTTTATTCTTTGTTTATTGTATCGATTTCAATTGTAATTACTAATACTAATATAGAATGTTAATCTACCTTTTCAAAAGTCTTTAATTATGCAGATAATAATATAAAATATTAAATTGTGATAAAAAATAATTAGGCAAATAGGTCAACACAAAATCAAGGCCCGCTTCGATATAAAGATCAAAAACCTAATATTTCTCTCATTCTCAGAAATAGATGTCCATAACTTTAGATCATTGGAAAGGGTAAAACGCCAGCATTTTTTTAAGTTCATAGCCAACTATGATTCCCATTTAAAAAATTATATTTTTTATTATTTCTGACAAAAAGAGCAAGCATAGAAAAAAGAACTGACTTCGCCACTGGATTGTGCCAAAAAAAGTACCTTAATAACGTTTTTACAGAATTTTAGTATTCCGCGAAATAAAAAAGTTATAGTCAATTTTCCAAATGGTAAAAAATTCAAAAAGACCCCGTATTTCAGTTGGTAGTAAAAATATCAACAGGCGGTTTACGCTAATAAACGTTTCTCAGGAATCGAGCCCATGACATCTATGTCGGTTTTGCTCTATCTAGTCAGGAAATAGGTTTTCTCTGTTAAAACAGACCAATTTCGACCACCCTGTACATACGGATGATTAGTTATTTATTAAATTAGATAATTAATTAGATATATTAGATAATTAATTATTTATTAAATTACGATCTGAGTTTTTAATAAGTAACGAGAATTTAAATGTAATTTCCTAAAATTATGACTTAGTTATTACAGGATAGATAATAAGAACTTAATTATCATGACTGTTTCTGTTTTACTATACTAAATGAGTCTTATACCGGGTGCGTCTCAAAAGGGGCCAAAAGGGGCCCTGTAGCTTTTTATTTTTTCGGATAAAAAACGAGATTTGGTATCTATACTAATATATAAAATACTTAACTGACTGACATACTGATTAATCACGCTCCTGCTCAAACCACTCAACGTAAGAAGCTCAATTTTGGCATACAGGTTGATTCTAGGGTGTAGAGGTTCGATAAGAAGGGATTTTTCGAAATTCCAGTTCCAAGAGGGTGAAACCACCCCTCAAATATTACAATATTTTTTATTTAAAAAACGGTCAAGTTTCCGAAAAAACGCTTAAACACGTATATTTTATTTTGTTTTTTTACATATTTTGAGATTTTTAAAAATATATACAGGGTGTTTCGAAAAATCTGGTCATTGATTAATCACGATCCTGCTTAAAGCGCTTGACGTAAAAAGCTGATTTTTGGAAAACAAATTGACTTTAGGGTGTAGAGGTTCGATAAGAAGGGATTTTTCGAAACTCGAATTCTAAGGGGGTGAAACTATCCCTCAAATATTAAAATATTTTTTATTTAAAAACCGTTGAGTTTTTCGGAAAAACTCTTAAACACGTATATTTTATTTTGTTGTCTTACATATTTTAAAAAATTTTATAAATTTATACAAGGTGTTTCGTCAAATATGCCCATTGAGTAATCACGATTCTGCTTAAACTGCTTGACGTTTAAAGCTGATTTTTGGCAAACGAATTGACTGTGGGGTGTAGAGGTTCGATAAGGAGGGGTTTCTCGAATCTCAAATTCCAAGAGGGTGAAAACGCCCCTCAAATATTACAATATTTGTTTTTTTACATATTTTAAAATTTTTTAAAAAATCATACAGGGTGTTCCAAGAAGTTAGGTAATTTCTTAACCACGATTCTGCTTAAACTGCTTGACGTAAAAAGCTTATTTTTGGCAAACGGATTTTTCGAAAGTCAAATTCCAACGAGATGAAACTACCTCCCATATATTACCAAGTTATATAATAATATCGCCATATTGTTTTTTCTCATGCTGACATAAATGTAAGAAAATTTTATCCAGTTTGTATGTCAATGGAAATTCTTACTTTGCTTTATCACCACCATTACAAATGATTAATTCGACGCGAACGAAGTCGCTGGTACACGCTAGTCTTAGTATATGACATAAATTAAAATTAATTGACGTAATCAATTGTTTTCGGACACTTGTTTTACCGGAAATTACTGCAACTTTTGATTTTTAAATGGCACCCTCGGTATTTTGTTACTTTATTTGATAGAACTGATGACACTCTAAATAGTCAACTTTTATATAATAGTCACATCTTATATGTCAACTTTTGACATTTTCGCTTAAAAAATCATATTTTAAATTTCAATCTAGTGCCACACTCTGAATAAGATATGGCATTTATTCAGAGTGTGGCACTAGATTGAAATTTAAAATATGATTTTTTAAGCGAAAATGTCAAAAGTTGACATATAAGATGTGACTATTATATAAAAGTTGACTATTTAGAGTGTCATCAGTTCTATCAAATAAAGTAACAAAATACCGAGGGTGCCATTTAAAAATCAAAAGTTGCAGTAATTTCCGGTAAAACAAGTGTCCGAAATATGTCAACTTTTGACATTTTCGAATATGGTTTATTTGAAATTGAAACATGCGATTCATAACTACAATTTAACTCGAAATACCAAGTGTGTGGTACCAAATTATTCGTAAAAAAATGCACTTTCCAAATATGTTAATGGACCACCCTTGTTCCATTTGAAAAAATTCAGATATGATTAAAAAAACGGCAAGGACAAGACAGGAAAAACATTAGATGATCAAATTTATTTTTCCAAGGCTCCTTGATTAAAAATTGATGTTTTAATACAGCCATGGCACTATAGATTGAAGATTAAAACAAAAATATACTGAGGGTGCCATTTAAAAATCAAAAGTTGTAGTAATTTCCGGTGAAACAGGAAGTGACCGAAAAACAAATGAATAAGTCAATCAATCCTAATTTAGGTCATATACTAACATACCAAATCTCTTTTTCTTATCTGAAAAAATAAAAAAGTTATAGGGGTGAGCGACTTTTGAGACGCACCTGGTATACTTAAGTTTTATTTTTAATGGGTTTTAGGTATTTAAAAACAAATCCATATGTAAAAGGAACGTCAGAAAATATCAGGCGAATAAACAACTGTATACGTTAAAATAAATAAAGACAATGGTCCGAAAAAATTCTTCTAGTTTTAATAACTCTTACCTATACACATTCTAGGGCCCTCTCCAAAAGGCAGAAATGTGAAATCCGGTCGTTTGGCTTTATTTTCTTCGCTGAAATTTTCCGGATTGAACACTTCCGGATTAGGATAATAGTCCGGGTCTTTGTGCAGGCCCCAAACAGGAATCTGGACTCGGACCCCCTTCTCGATCACTACGTCTGTACCGGGGATTTGGTAGTCTTTGCTGCAGACCCTGGGAATGACCGGCACGGGGGGGAACTTCCTCAAAGTTTCTGGAAAGAAATTTAATATTTTATCATTCGATATGGATAATTTTCTCTACACACATGGCCAAAATTATTGCATATATCGTTTAAAAATATACGGAAAGGAATTTAAATAATCTTTTTTATACCGGGTGTCCCACTAAGAATAGCTCTCGGCTGTATCCCGGAAAGTATTAACCGTTGAGCTTACAGAAAAAAAATATTTATAACTAAAGGGGCTATGAGAAATTGCTGGAAATTATATTCAAGTTTGTAAAACGGTCGCTAGGTGGCGCAACTGCTATGGAAAATAGATTTTTTACAGAATTTTGCCTAGATAATGGGTACTATAAATAATAGCTTCATAATGTTCAATAAATTTTGGATTTTTATTGTTACAACCATTTTCTCATATCTGCTAAAATAAAGTGGTGGGGGAAGGTTAGATCTATATTAATTTAATTGTTAATAACTCCGGACTGGATGATAAGAATCCAACAAACGAGGGCTCGTTTAAAAGAGCGTTTCTTATTCTATATTATATCATAATAATAGTAATAATACGGTTTTAACGTTGACGCTAGGGGGCGCTTTCTTACAATTTAACAAACATAGCGCGTTTTTTCAAAAAAATTAAATACGATAGTATGTGCTATTTTAGCTGGTAGTAAAGAGCAGTAAAAGCTTAAAAAGTCAGCGAAAACCGCATCTTGATATCTTCTTTCAAACCGAAGATATTAGCAAAATTATAATAAATACCAAAAAATAAGCCCTTAATTACTTTATTTTTACAATACAGTATCAGTAGCCCTCTTGATTAGGCCCATTCTAGCAAACAATAAGATAGAAACAGTTAGTTTATTTTAAAATTGACGAAATACTAGAATACCATAATACCAGATGTATTAATATCTAATAATTAAGATATTAAAATAGTGAACAAGAAACGATGATTCAGTGAAGTCATGGTAGGCTTTGGAAAAAAGTTGCTTTTCGCGTAATAGTTCAAACGTCAAATTGTTATTAGATCAACATTTTGATAGTCTTAGCAGCGTTCTTTTATCTTTTAAATGCTTTTTCAAAATGCCTTTATTATTTGAAGTAGTTGAAGTTGTTGGCATTGTGAAAAAGCAATCAAAAGATAAAAAAAAGCTGCTAAGACTATAAAAATGTTGATCTAATAACAATTTGACGTTTATATTATTACGCCAAAAGTAACTTTTTTCCAAAGCCTACCATGACTTTACTGAATCATCGTTTCTTGTTTGCTATTATTAATATCTTAATTATTTTTTGTTTTTACTCTTGGCTTTAGGTCGTTGGGGTTGCAAAGATGTTTCTAGATTTTGTTCATTCTTTTATTTTATGACGACGTTTTGACAGTATATGTCTTTTTCAAGCTTCTTCATAAAATAAAATTTCAAAACGTCGGCATAAAATAAAATAATGAACAAAATCTAGAAACATCTTTGCAACTCCGACGACCTAAAGCCAAGAGTAAAAACAAAAAATATATGGTATACAGGTCAAAGAAACGAAACAAAAAAAAATATCTTAATTATTATATATTAATACATCTGATATTATGATATTCTGGTATATCGTCGATTTTAAAATAATCTAACTGTTTCTATCTTATTTTTAGGTTAGAATGGGCATAATCAAGAGGGCTACTGATACCGTGTTGTAAAAGTAAGGTAATTAAGGGCTTCTTTTTTGATATTTATTATAATTTTGCTAATATCTTCGGTTTGAAAGAAGATATCAAGATGCAGTTTTCGCTAACTTTTTAAGCTTTTACTACTCTTTACTATCAGCTAAAATTACATATACTATTGTATTTATTTTTTTTGAAAAAACGCGCAATGTTTGTTAAATTGTTGAACGCCCCTAGCGTCTACGTTCAAAAGCTTATTATTATTGTTTATATGGGACAATATAGAGTAAGAAACGCTCTTTTAAACGAGCCATCGCTTGTTGGATTCCGATCATCCAGTACAGAGTTATTAATATTCAAAGAAAAACAGATCTAACCTTCCCCCACCACTTTATTTTGGTAGATAGGGGAAAATGGCTCTAACAAAAAATATTCAAAATTTACTGAAGATTATGAAGCTGTTACTTATAGTACACCTTATCTAGGCAAAATTGTGTAAAAACTTCATTTTCTTAGTTTTTGTTGCAGTTGCGCCCCCTAGCGGTCGTTCTACAAACTTGAAAATAATTTCCAGCAATGTCCCATAGCCTCTTTAGGTATAAATAGCTTTTTTCGTTTTCCTGTTATTACCGATTCTGAACCGTCCTAGAATTGTGATGCGTATGCGCAGAAGGAAATATGAAGACATTATTTCATTTGTGCATGCGCTGGAGAGTTCTAGGACGATTCAGAATCGATAATAATAGGAAAACGAACAGACCTAATATTTTTTTCCGCAGCCGCTTACGGCTAATACTTTCCTAGATACAGCCGAGAGCTATTCTTAGTAGGACACCCTGTACGTACCTTTGATAATCTGTAATAAACATTTTTTTGTTAAAATGGTTTTGTAGCAATGTTTATCGTTTGGACCCAATATTATTACAAATTCTTGCACATTTCGATTTGTGGTCTCTTGGGTTTCGGAAGAAATTTGACCATTGTTTTGGCCTTAAAATGCCTAGAAACATTATTTCACAGTTTAATAGTCAGAATAGTAACACTGTCTCAACAGGGCTAACGGCAAGTTACAATAGCTGAAATTGTAGGAGTTAACGTGATGTTTCGCGAATATTAAAAAATTCAGTAAAATTCAAGTATCTATAAATATAGCTGATTTGCACCTGTTAATAGTAATTGTTTGTAAATTTAAAGGGTACTTTTTATAACTTTAATAAATCTAAATTATTAGAATATTTTGTAATTTAGTGTAAAAGTTAAACAACAGGTTAAGTTCCTCCTATTTTAAAACTTATGTAAAATAAATTCAAGGATACTATTTTACATGTTAAATGTTGCGCAATCTGATGAAGCAGTACTTATTAATTAATCAAACAAACATACTTTATTAAGGAAATTGATTTGATATTTTTGTATTAATAGATTTCAAATTAATCGATCAGTAGGTAGTGCTCAAATTATTTTACAGTTTATACCAAAAAAATAACTCTTTATATTTATATGTAGGTAGAATTTTAAACTTTTATCCATCAAATTGAACGGGGAGCTGGATGCCACAAAGATTTTTTTTTCAAATATCATATCATTACGACTTTAAAAAGTTTTAAAGAACTGAATCAAGTTCAAAGGTATTTAACTATAAAAAAAATATGAAATTCTATTCTTCAGGGTGGTCCGAACTGTATTCCGAAAATTTCGGCAGCATATTCTGCTGATAAAAAGCAGTAAAGTTCGTATAAATGTATGTTCTAAATGCTAAGTTTCGGTGATACAGGGTGTAAAAGTTTCATTTTTATTTCGATTTTTTCCAAATAATTTCTGAAGTAATATCAATATTTGGATGAAAATTAGTGTGTGGGAGTTTTTTGACATGAGAAATTTGATTTTGATATCAATATGATTCCTACTTGTAGAGGGCGCCACCTACATATTTTTAACTTGTTTGAAGAGTAATAACTTTTCGTCCATACCTGTATAAAACTACTGAGTAAAAAAATATACATTTACGACGTTTTTTACGTACAAAAGGTCTCTTGGTAAAAATCGCTACGAGTAATGGTTCTCGATATATTTCGAATACAAATAATTATCAATACCTGTCGTCAATGACATAAATTAAACATGTTGACTAAATAGTTATTAGATTTAAATCATTAATTTGAAATGTTTTTGTGCCACAAACTGTTTTATCATCATTTTTTTGAACAAAAATTTATGATTAATTTAAAAAAATAAAAAGTGACCAAATTATTATTTCGGTCAAATAATTATCTACTCGGCATGCTTATTTTTTGTCAATAATGGCATGCATTGACTATTTCCATTTTAAATATTTTGAGAATCATTACTCGTAGCGGGTAAACTTAGCTCGTAACAGTTAAAACACACGTAGGTGGCGCCCCCTAGAAATAGGAGTCATATTGACATCAAAATCAAATTTTTTATGTCAAAAAACTCCCAGACACCAATTTTCATCCAAATATTGACGTTACTTCAAGAATTATTTGCAAAAAATCGAAATAAAAATGAAACTTCTACAGCCTGTATCTCCGAAACTAAGCATTGTTGAACATATTATACGAACTTTTTACTTATTTTTACTTGCAGAATATGCTGCCGAAGTTTCCGGAATACAGTTCAGACCACCCTGTATTATACAATACAATGTGTCCCAAAAATAAGTGCAAGTATTTTAACTGGTAGTATAATTTAACCCCAGAAACACGCCTATGCGGTTTTTTTGGGAAAAAAAATAATTTAAAATTCCCTGAATTTTTTTTTAGTTTTTAGCTCGGTTTTTAGTTAAAAACATAATTTCTTCATAATATGGCAAAATAGATAGTAGATTAAATTTACAAGAAAGAAAATTCAGAAAAAGTCCAGTGGTTCCCAAAATTTTAGCAAAAAATTTTTTTTTTGAAATTTTCAAAGTTAAACATCTCTGTTATATTAGACTTATTTGAAAAACGATAAAGAGAAAATATGTTTCTTTTATCGAGATCTACCACCCCTTAAAATACTTGCACTTATTTCTGGGACACCCTGTATAACAATAGTTCTTACCATCGATTACTAAATCGAGATACTTCATTTCAGCTACCGCATCGTACGTTATTTTCCCGTCGTGTTTTTCTAAAACCTTCTCAATTTCCTCCCTTAATTTCTGCTGGATATCCTGATTTTGAGCCAACTCTAACAGAGCAAACGTCATCGTGGTCGACGAAGTTTCAAAACCAGCCAAGAAGAATATGAAGCATTGAGCAATTATTTCGTCGTCCGTGATCGAATCTTCGTTGTTTTTCATTTGGAGCAACAAGTTCATGAAGTCCTTCCGAGAAACATTATTGGTTTCGCGATATTTGATAGTTTC